GTGTATGATTATAATTTAGCGAGAATAATTTCAAGCAATGGTCTGCCACAGAGATTTCTGTTATTTTATTTTCCTAAGTGCAAATATTTAGTCTTTTAAATTTCCATTTTTAAACTCAAGGGCATTTGTTTTTGTTTGAATCATTCATGTCACATTTGATAATAAATCTGAAGCATTTGGTCAAGGTGTAAGAAAAACATATATAGCTTTGGTTGGGGGAAGAGCCTTGTGTCTGGTGTTGACTTGCTGGGCAGCAAGCGAAGGGGACTGCACACTTTAATACTGAATGTCCACCATGTGTCAACGTGAATGTACGGATTCCCTCAAGGCAAAAATGCAACAATCAAAAGTTGAATTCCCAAAAGTTGTTTTATTTTGTTTTCTTTTGCAAGCAATGAAAATGTCTGAAGTTAGTTGTTCTTAAAAATCCAAATCTGTTAAAAATTTGAAGGAAATATAGCTTATTACAGACTGACATTTCCATATTTGAAAAGGGAGAAATAAAGCAGATGGAAGTAAAGGATTCCTGGTCTGTCCTGAGGAGTGGTCTCTGGCACATGCTAGGTGAGCTCTCACTCTGTGATAACATGCCAACTTCTACCCAGCTCAACAAAGTAGAACCGACATTATGTACAGAACTCATGCACTAAAGCTCTCTAAATGCAGGCTGTCAGTGCACAGTGGCATGATTATTAAGGGTTTTAGAGTTCATTATGTCAATAATCTATGGATTAGGGACTTGCACATGCATTTCAACTGCAATCATTCCAACCTCCCTTAGCACTTTTCTAAATGACTGCCAACTTTCCTTCTGGAAGGAAATTAAATTAATATAAAAAAGCAATGTGAAATTAAAACATGCCAAGGATTCGAATAAAGTTTCCATTCTGTCATGCACTCCCTCTGAGTCTCATGATGCAGAGTTCGTAACAGGGATAACGTTAGGGCATTCTAATTTAAAAGATGGCCAAGCCTACACAATCCGAATTATTTCAAAGAGGATCAGATTTTAAAGTAAGTAATCTTGTATTCCCATCAATATTAATGCCAATGAGAAGAATAATGAACAATAGAATTGGCCGAAATAAATGTCCCATAGATAGTAGTCTGTAATTCAGGAAGCCAGACCCATTTTAATAAAGAAAGGAGTAAAACTCTTAAAATGTATCAGATGGGTGATTAGAAGATATGACAAAGTTCAAAAGCAGTGTATGGGAGAATGCAAAGAAAAACTCAAACAAAATACTAAATACCTTCTTCCTATCAAAATGTCCTCTACATGTGAAACTGAGATAGCTGGGATAACTTCCATTGTCTTAGGTGATGCTAATGATTCTTAGAAAGCCCCAAAGGAAGGAATAATATGCTTGGTTGCTTTTCTTGCTTTTGTTTGGCAACTAAGCCTTATTTCCTGTTGATCTGCAACAAAATGAAAATGACTTCCTGTGCAACATTCCCCAAAGCAGTTTACAAACTGCATAAGTCATTCTCTACTGAAATTTAGCTAAGATGGAGCATGGCAGTGCGCCAGTAGCATTTAGCAACAGCACATATCAGCCTGGAAGGTGAGGCATGAATTGTTGTGGTCAACAAAAAATATTGAGTCCCTGCAGTGTGTAGCACCATAAAAATTTGATTTTTTTATAGCAATTTTATCCAAGAAGTTAACTCTTCAGTAAGTCACTCCATGGATTTCTTAGGATACCAAAACCTAAATATGTCCAAAAGAGCAAAGATGAAGAGAATAAGAGTTTGTCAAGTATTGATGTCATGCTCCAAACTCAACCGGGTACTGTGAGGTCTCAAAAAATATATATATTTTAGGAACTTAGAATCTATTTATGGGGCAAAATGTACCTGCCCAGCCAACAGAGTCCAGTGTCAGCATTTCCACTCATTTATTATTTTAATTCAATATCTATATAATAAGTTTTTGCTACATGCCAGGTACTCTTCTAGGAGCAGCTGTGACCTCAGGAAGTGAGTGTTCTAGTGGTTGTGACAGGCAACACATAAACAGATACACAAGAAAACACCATTGCTGGTAGCTATGCTAAAAATTAAAATAGGCTTGTGTGAAAGTGTGGTGATGGGCTGTTTTAGATTGAGTATTTAGAGAAGTTTTCCTAGAGGAGATGACATTTATGCTGTCATCTGAATGACCATAGGAAGCCAATGAAGCAAATAAATACCAGGAGAAAAAGCATTCTGGGCAGATAAATAGCTGGTGTGAAGGCACTGAGGTTGCACTAAGCATGAGGTATTGACAAAAGGAAAGGACATCAGTGTGGAACAGAGTGGGTGAGGGAAGAATGGAAGACCAAGTAAGTTATCTCGGCACCAAGTATGTGCCAATCACATAAAGATTTACACCCATATTAAGGGGTTTGGATTCTGTTCCAAGTGTGTTGGAAAGGCCCCCACCGCCAACTTTTTTGAGACAGGGTCTTGCTCTGTTGCCAAGGCTGGAGTGCAGTGGTGCAATCATGGCTCACTGCAACCTCTACCTCCTGAGCTCAAGAGATCCTTCCACCTCAGCCTTCTGAGTAGCTGGGACTACAGGTATGTGCCACCTTACTCAGCTAGTTTTTAAATTTTTGTATAGAAGGGATCTTGCCACGTTGCCCAGGTTGGTCTCAAACCCCTGGGCTCAGGTGATCCTTCCATCTTGGCCTCCCAAAGTGCTGGAATTACAGGCATGAGTGGAAAGCTCTTTAAGCATGGAAAGGCCATGAAGTGATCCAAGCTTTTTCAGGAATAGCCCTGTCTACTGTGTAGAAAATGAATTTCAGAGAAGAGGTAGTGTTAAAAGCAGAAAACAACTTCATCTTTGTGAAAACAAAAAGATCAGATGAAGGCTACTGCAGTTGTCCATGGTAGAGATGGTAGTTGTTTCAACTTTGGAGAGGAGATGAGGAATAATGGAAAAATTGGGGATCTGTTTTGCAGTTGGATTGCCAGAATGTGCAGGTAAGTTGGAGGAAGGAAGTGAGGAAAAAAGAGGAATAAAAAATAACACATTGATTATAGGAACATGCATATGATAAAATGACAAATAGAAAGTAATGCAAAGATGGAAGAAATGAGAGAAATAAATTAGTCAAACAGAATTTTCAGGTGGCATCTAATAGCCTGAAGAGCTGTCTATCTTAGATGCAGTTTTAAAAACTAGTTATTATATTTAAGAAGGTATTAGAAGAGAGGAGAAAAAGAGGAAGGTATTCTCTTTAAATGATGAGAAACATAAATGAGGAAAGGCTACAGTGGAAATTAGTAGGAAGTGTGGTTAAAAAAATAAAAGACTGATTTCAATTATCATGGTGGGAAATGTGATCTGCCAGACACATGGATGGTTGAAGAGACATATTAGAGAAAGGCAATACATACACACATGCACCGCCCCCCAAGAAGTCACTTCTTTGAACTTAAATTTTAAGTGAAGGGATGCATATTATTTGAGGCCAACCCATTTGTTAAAAGTACCCAGAGGAGAAAGCAGTTCGAAGGCATATTTTCGTCCTGGAAAGTGGTTATGGTAAATGAGAAAGAAACAGAATTAAGAAAGACAGATACAGAAGGTACAAAGAAAATTTGACAAGAAAATATTACGGTTTGGTATATGTGACCAGACCTCTTCATATGCTGTATCCAAACAGATAGGCTAAATAAAACCTATGAACCTTCCTAGAAACTCACACCTGCCAAATACCATGTAACTTATGCTACTAGGCACTTATTTGGAAAGAAGCACCATCCCTGGAGGAATTCTAAAGGCAATGGAGTAATCCGGAATGTAGTGAACTACACAGGTACTGGCAGGGAAGTGGCAGATGGTGAGCTCAGTGAAGAAAAGACTAGGAGGGAATTGACTGCAGTCACCGAGACAGTCGAGAAAACCAGGCTAGAGAGAGTAAGGAAGTGACTGGCAGCATCTTTAGGACGGACACCAAGCTTTGACGTATAATGCTCCATAGGGCAGCTCAGCAATCTTTTCATACATTTTGCAATACGCATGTTAAATGCTCACTACTGATGGATCAAATCGAACCATCACTATCGCTTCCGAACTGAGATAACTACTGATTTTGTTTGTTAGTAACAGCAAGGATAAAACTGAAAGACTAAAACAGAATAGTACAGCAAGAAAAAAAGATACTAAAAAACTATCAATCATTTCATTCAGTCACGACCTTGAATTTTTGTATATTTTCCATCTATCTCAGGCCATATGTACTATCTACTTAAAGGATCTTAAACATTCAAAAGGTTTTTCTAGTTCTACTCACCATATTAACAAGACAAGGTACTTAAAATGATTCAAGTTCAAAGATGTTTCTGTTCTTATGACAAACCTGGTTTTAAAAACTGCCTTGGTGATTCCGCTGGCGATGTCTGTTAAACACATGGGTTGCATCCTCCCTAAAGTTTCCGTCAAAGAAATCTTCTATAACCCAGCTTCCAGTGATGTAACAAGAAGCAATACCCACTAATAAGGCAGTGACAACAGAAAAGAGCAAGCATGGTGGGATTACGGAGTTCAGTGGGTAATTCCACAAATATGTGTAGGGCATTTACTCTGTACTAGGCACTGCCTGACATGCTGGGAATGAGGCAGCGAACAAGAAGTGTGAAGATCTTGAGCTTGTAGAACTTATACTCAGTGGATAAGAGGGACGAAAAACAAGTAAAGAACAAAGTATAATTAATATAATGATCCCAGAGGGCACTGAGCACTCTAAAGAAAATGATACAGGATAAGGGACTAGAGAGGACCTTTGGAAAGGTGAAGGCTGGGAAGAAGGGGCCCTTCTAAGCTAAGTGGTCAAGAAACCCTCTCTGAGGAAGGAACATTTCAGCAAGGGCTCGCATGAAGAGTAAGCCATACAGAGCCACGCAATTTTGGAAGCAGAAGGGACTTTTAACAGATGAGAACACTGAGAAGAGACAGCAGAAAGACAAACACTGGTCTCCCAGGCTTCGCACCTGGGAACCTGCCTCACCTGAGTTAACTGCAACCATCAGCCACGAAGAGGGACACGCTGCCAAGTCACGGGGACTGTAAGACAGGCACTGGCTCACCGGGCACGGCAGTCAAGTCAGGTGAGGAATAACTGGCCAGTGTTAAACCCAGGGAGGACGCCAGATGCTCTGACGTCCATTATCAGATGAGACGGATTAGAGGCTCTCCGGCTCGCCCAGCCAGTCTCCATGGTCAGCGCGGTTTTAGAGGAAGGAGCTTGGAGCTCAGCAACATGAAGGCATATCTGACAAAGCCATTCCACTGAAGGAAGCAGTTTGAAAGGTAGGAAGTGTTCCTACAGAGGGAGGATGCTTCCTGACTTTCCGGAGTGAGATACCCAGAACAGGGCTATAAAATCTCTGGGGAAATTCTTAATAGGATTGCGACAGTGTGGTGTTTACTTAGATGGTTTGTTATCTGAGCTCTCCCTGTACACTGTCAATAAGTCAACCAGTGTTTATTAAGTGCCTACTCCAAGTCCCCTGGGAACTTCAGAGGCCAATAAGGTGGAATTACAGTCCTCTGGCGAAACCAAAGACTTGGTTTCTTATGTTACTTTCTCGTCTCACTTGAATTATAGTTATTTTTATATTTTTCTTGGCCCTATAAAAAAGCTCTTCATGGGGCTTATATAACACAAGTTTATGAAAAAAAAACTACCTTTTACTCCCCTTTATATTCCCTTCATACCTGTTTTTAGTTTTCTTGTATAAAGTAGGCATTAGATAAATATTTGCCGAATTATACTGTTTTCAAGAAGCTAACAGTAGACAGCAAAGCAATCTGAAATATCTCCCATCAGAAAAATTCCTAAAATTTCTGTACTGTGCAAAGAAGTTAGGGGTGGCTGTTTACCAAACCCTCAAGGCTAATTCTTAGCTTCAAGACTCAAGAGTCAGGCTTGAATTTGAATCTGAGTTCCACTCCTTCCTCTGCCAGAATGCCTCCATACCACTGTGACTGTGGGCAGATGATGCAACTGCTCCAAGCCTCGGTTTCCATGTTTGTGGACTGAAGTGTAACAGGAGGTCCTGACGAGGCAGCTGAAGGGTAAACAAAGATGCTGCATGAAAATCAGGACATGCCAGTGCAGCAGCACCATCTTTCCAGTTATGAGACTAGGGACCTTCATGCTATCTGACTTTTCAATCCCCATGTCCTATTAATCCTCAAATCCTGCCAATCTACTTGCTGCATATTCTCCAAAATTTGTTCTCTCTTTTCTATCCAAATTGCCAATGCCTCAAATCATCCACTTATTGTGTCTCACCTAACTGCTCTCATACCCTTTTCCAACATCTCATTCATTTTCTACGGTACTGACATTGGCATCTTTACAAACAAAAATCTGTTTCACTCTTTCAAAAACTTAAAAGTCAGATGGCTTCCCATTACCCAGAGGATCAAGTCTATGGCCCACGAGGTCCTTCACTCTCAAGCCCTGCACTCTGCCACACTCATTTCCTACAAGCTCCTCACTCTCTGCTTCACATTCCCAGTAAGTGCCTCTAGCCTGGGCATAGGCCACTTTTTTTGCTAGGATGCCTTTATTGCCTCTCTGGGTGGCAAACTTCTACTCATTCTTTAAGACTCAATACTCAACAATGACAGAGAAATTTGGTTGTGCACTTATCTATGCTCATATTTCTATTGAAGACCATCTTAAATTGTTTGTACACATTCTGGAGTTTTCTAAGGGTAGAAAAGGAATCCTACGTATATCTACAAGTTATAGTACTGACCACAGAGCCCAACATCAAGCAGATACTCATGACATTTTGTGGGTGCATAACGAATAAATGAAAAAGAACATTCAAGTTGACTACCGTTGCTGATGTACAGAATTTGTTTCGAGAGAATATAGGCTAAATAGCAAATAACATATGAATGTTTTGACAATTTTATGGGTGCTAAACTTATATATAATAGGTTATTGCGTGAAACCTAAATAGTCTGGAAACATATCTCTAATCTGTTGAGGGGGACATCATGGACATCCACTGGCATGGCTGCCATATGGTGATGACATGTGCTGGATGATCCAGGAGCCTGGTGTAAGGATGCATTTTTCTGTCTTTAAGAACACAAAAATGTCCTGGTAAGAACAAAAATAGCATATGACTCAGGAGGGCCTCCTTCCTCTGAAATCATGTACATTTTGGTTTGCTTAGGATCTATTCTGATTTGAGCACAGGAATGGTGTATACGAATGCTGCTCAAACCTTTGTGGGCACAGAAATCACTGTTTTCCCATTAAAATGCAGATTCTGGTTCAACAGGTCTGGGGTAAGTCCTGAGAATGGTCCTTTCTAACGGGCTCCCAAGAGATGTTGATGTTGACAGTTCATGGACTGCACCTGAATAGCCAGGTGATGGATGGGTCTGTCTCTTCCAATCTCGCGATTCTCATGTATTTTTATTTTGAAACTTCCAAAACATGAAGACCTATAATCTGGTAGTAGCAGCAGTAGGATTTTCATCTCTGGGATTTTGATTGTTAGAACTTTCTGATCTTTAATTTTCATCGACTACCAAGTTTTAATATTTTAAACCTCTATTTAGGGAGAGGTATGAATGGGAGAGACATTGCCCATATCCTTTCTTTTTCTAAGAAATATTATTATATCAATACTATTTCAGTTTTCTCTTTTCTCTACCTTCTTTCTTTAGTTTTATTTTTTTAGTTTTGAGACAGAGTCTTGCTGTGTCACCCAGGCTGGAGAGCAGTAGTGCAATTATGGCTCACTGCAGCCTTGACCTCCCAGGCTCCAGCAATCCTCCCACCTCAGCCACCTAAGTAGCTGTGACTACAGGCACATGTCACCATGTCTAGCTAATTTTTTTAGTTTTTGTAGAGACGAAGTTCAAAACCAGCTGGTTTTGAACTCCTAGCCTCAAGTGATCCTCCTGCCTTGGCCTTCCAGAGTGTTGGGATTACAGATACAAGCCACCGTGCCCAGCCTACCTCTTTTACATTAAAAAAAAAAAAAAAAAAAAAGTTTATTCCCTCGAGCAGTTTGTGTTTATCACAACGCCCAATAATGGACCAATGGACTATTTAGGAGATGGTGACAAGATTCAAAATTACACCAAAGTTTCTGGTTTGTTCATATACTTAAATAGAGTTTGCAAAAATACTACTAATAAATAAAATGAGATCAAGAAGAAACCATTTATTACTACTATAGAATAATAAATTGCATACAGTAAAAAAGTGATGCTTCATTCTGTCGGCCTAATCCCACATTTACCGAAATATCTGATGGTCTGGAAGCTTCAACTCTCCCTCATCTTTACCCCCAACGTCCCCAGCAGTTCTTTTGATGGGTCAGCACTAAAGCCTAAGTATTTACTATTAAAGGATGTGTGGTAGCCTCCAGTGCCAAAGCACAAGACATAACCAAAAGAGTAATTTTTAAAAACTATAATAAAGCTAACTTACATAATCCATAGATACATGAATGAGTAGATGTACCAGTGACCTTAAAGAGTTAAAAGGGTTAAACCCTTTCCATGCCCTGGAAATATTACTTCCAGAAAAAAGGTGAGGGCACAAAAGTATGAAGTTAACTTGTTTTTGTAAAAGAAAGTAACTTAAAAGGAACAGTTTTCAAATATGTATTTATTCTATCAGCCCTCTTATAAAATCCAAGGCCCCCAAAACACACAAAAACACCTCTGGAAAGATTAGAAAATATTCTCCAAAGACATTGGTTCCTGATAATTTAGTAATCTGAGAGCTTGTTCGGAGGTTCTGGCAGGGGAGCGCAGCTACTCATACACCCTTCACCAAAGACCGGTCCATCGGGACGGTCATCCTCTCTGGCTGAGTATGCAGCTTCAGGAGGGATGCACATGGAGCAGGGAGGGAGGAAAGGACACCTGCCTAGCCAGCCAGATCAGCCTAATCAACCCTGGCCATCAAAGGGGTGACAAATGTCGCAGCCAGATCACCCTCACAGCCACAATCTCGCAATTTGGAGAAAGAATAGGTAACATATCATTTCCTTTTCTTTCTCTCTCTTTTCTGCTGGCTCAAAGTTCAGTGTCTCAGGTGACCTCTTCCCATGTCTGAGTTCCTCATCAATTCAGGATTGAGTTTTCTTGCAAACACCTGAATTTATCTTTCGGTCTGTTCTTTACTTCCCCCTCTCCCCCCACCAACTATTATGTAATTTTTATTATTTATTCGTGTATTTATTCATTTATTCATGCATTTATTCATTTAGTCATGCATTTATTCATTTAGTCAAGTTTTGAAACAGTTTAAAGGCTGCCAAAGCAAAATAGAAAAGGATCACTCAACTTAAGAGTAAGATCTGAGTCAAAGATCTAAGTTGAAGAAGTCCTTGATTAAACCATGATCGGCTTTGGTACTTTGACTGAGTCTCTTAATCCCCTTCAATCTGAATTACCTCATCTACAAAATAGAGACAATTATTCCCAGGATTGCTATGAGATTAAATGAAATAATTGATATGAATGTTCTTTTAAAATTAAAAAGGTTCTATTGATCTTCAAGTAGTGTAAGCCAGTTTCTCAAAACTGGTTGCAATGTTTCATTCGGCAGCAAAAAACACGCCTTGACTTACTTTTAAAACAGAGATATGTGAAGGAGTTTCAGCATCAGATTATTCCATCTTTATTTACCTCACCTATCAGGTAAAAGATTAGGACCCTATTCAATTAGATATTCATTAGAAGTACAGCGTAAAGGCCAAGATGTTGGATTTTTAAAAATAATCACAAAAATAATTGTAAACTCTTAATATGCTTTCTGTTATCCTTCATACACCATATCTGAGGACATCAACATTGTTTAATAAACCAAAGTGGATCAACACTGGTTCAAAGGTGAGTGTGCTCAGGCTCTTTAGGCACTATATCTAGCAAAGGATTTAAGATGCACGTGTCGAGATCAGAGCACTGAGGATCAGGATCAGTTCCTGGGATGTTCTGCATTATTATTTCTGGATTAAGAGATGATTAAAGTACACTTTCAAAAGGCAAACAACACAGAGATCCCACAGTCGTTTTCAACAGTTTATAGCAAATTGTGATGAAATAATACAAGCATGTAAACTTCCAACAATTAGAGAGATGACAAACCACAAGTACTGATACAATATGGGAATTCAGACCCACAATTATGTAATTCCTTCCCCCGAAAGGAAGTAAGATATACAGTGAGGTGTGGTTTTTCTTCTCCTTTTTTTTTTTTTTTTTTTTTTTTTTCAGGAAATTTTTTTTTTTTTTTTTTTTTTTTTTTAAGGGAAGCACTAAGGAAAAAGCTGCAGCTAGTGAGTGTTGCGGTCAACAATGTTCAGTGATCATTACACAAGAAAGAGCCTGCCAAGAGAAAAAGAAGTCTTGAAACTACCTGGTGGTTGTCACTGCTTTGTAAGTGTGATAAACTTTAAATGTGGAAGTTTTAAAAAAAAATTATAGACTGAGTTTGGTGGCTGAAGTGCTGAGTGTATAAATACTTTCACTATCTGAACTTATTTTTCTTAGTAAATTTTAAAGGGTTTTAAACTTTTGGAATTTTTGGCATATCTTTTTTATATATGTTTATAGGTGCTCTCGTTTTGCTGAAATGTATAATTTCATCCAATTTTTTAAAAATAATTTTAAAATAATTTTAAAAATCTTAGAACTGATCTAACCTCAACTCGTGCCTCTCAAGAATGCCACATAATTAACATTATAATGGAATAACTTGATAGGTAAATTTACTACTAACTGCTTCTGATTTCAAAAGGCGTTCTGCAAGCTTATTGATTTTTCAGTGATTGCAGCTACCATACATAATTGGAATATGTTTCAATATCATGGGTTATGTGTCTCTAATAAACTTATGAGTTATTTTTCGAATCCCAAATTTTCTTATTGGCCTCTATTTACTGAAGAAAATATATTTTATTATTTCCTTTTTCTGATAACTTGTCTCTAAAGTATGTGAAAGGCTTTGTCTGTCACATATATGTGCACATACAGATACACACACACACACACACAGAGAGAGAAAGAGAGAGAGAGAGAGAGAGGAGAAATCAAACTCAACAAATAGCATATCCTAGAACATTGCAATACTCAGATTTGAATGACTGGGTTAGTAGGACTAATTAAAAAGAGGGCTGAAGAGAGAAAATTTGATTTCAAGAGATGATTTCAGGCTATAAGTAGACTTAATAAAGCAAACTGACAACCTAGTTTACCTTTTATGATTGGAGGAGAATCTATTCAAATGGTGACTGGGGATGTGGGGGGCCAGGGGAGATTTACATCAGAACCTATGCATGTTCAGAGATTACTTCACTTTCAATGATTTCCCCTATTAAAAAAGACTTTAACCTTCTGGAAGGAGAGACACGGGGATTACATATCACTGTTAGCCCTTTGTGCCATTTGTAACTAGTGTTTTTTACTCTCAAAGGTAACTTTTGTTTCTGTTTTACCTGAAATAATGATTTACAAGTAAAAAAGTTTAATCAGTTTCCCCTTTTAAAATTCCCTAAGAAGTTAACTATTACCAAAAACAAACAGTGAGTGCATAGACAGTCTACAATTATGGTCTTGTGGATTTAGGCTAAATAAGTGGTATTCCGAATAATTAAATTGTAAAAAACTTCTAAGCAAATTGTCCAGACAAATTAATTTGGCAACTAATCTCAGCCTACGTTTTTAAACATTTTTGCTTCTAAAACCAAAGAGTTACTACTTTATTCAAAAAGTTTCTGTGAGTTTAGGCCAGTCAGATTTATCAGGAGTAGGAGGATAGAATATCTTCCTGACTGGGTTGCTGTGAGGGTTAAGGAAAGTGATGGATGTGGAAGTGCCTTGTAAACAATCAAGGGTTATATAAAGATACAACATTATTAATAAAGAGAATCATTTCCACTTCCACTTCCATTGTGAAATTCAAAGCATGGAAACAACTTTAACATTAGTTAATAACTGACAGCATTACTGAGAAAAAATATAATGTCAAAGAAAAACTTCAAAATGTAACACAATACACATGAAATATGATGGATTGAACATTTTAAACTCTCAGATTACTGAAATTTTCAAAACATAATGGAGCACAATATGTATTTATTCATAAAAGAGGAATCATGAAATACCTCTACAAATAACAGAATAATATTGAAAATAGTGACTAGTTTGAGAGCTTTTTCAGCTTCTTGCTCACTTCCTTTCAACGCCTCTCACTCAGTAATGTGTTGTCTACACTGAGGTCTCCAAACCTCTTAGAATTGTGATTTTAAGAAAATGTGTATGCATGTGTGTGGGTTTGTGTCTGTGAGTCTGTATACAAACATACATACTCATAATACATTTAAAAATACTTAAAAGCACTCTATACTGGGATGAGTATCATAGATAATTATAGTAGATATAATTGTACATTTTAAATCTTTTTCTGGTTAATTTCAGAGGTGTTTTATAAACAGGGTTGATTATAATATTATTATTATCATCATATTTTTAGAGATGGGGTCTCAGTATGTTTCCCAGGCTGGACTGCAGTGGTTATTCACAAGGGAGATCATTGTGTACTACAGCCTCAAACTCCTGGGCTCAAGTGGTCCTCC